ATCGTCAGCAAATGTTTAATGAGGTATGATGGACGTAATGGTTGATACTCTAAGCCCCCTCTCGCTCCTCCCGTAAAATTAAAAAATGTCGATTATTCTATCTTCATTGAATGATTTACATTAGAAATGACCTACAGAAGCATGAAAACACAAAAACTTGCAACCTGCAGACAATCCGGGGCGCGCAGGTGACCTTGAGACTCGGAACATACAAGGTTCCCGCGCGCCGCGTCAACTTTGAAGACTCATAACTCCGCTTCTAATCGTTTCCCCAAGATCATCTTGGGCTTGTTTTAAAGCTTAAACGCTCTACTTTCATTTGAAATTGTTTTTGACTTAATCCGTGCGAACCGAACAACCGAAAATCTCAAAAAACGAAAATTTACGAAAGGGGGACCTTGTAAAATGCCCCAAAAGTGGGTCAAATTTTAAAATTTAATTAATTTCATACATATATTCTGAAAGCTCTCATTTTTCTGGAAATTTTGACACCAAGACCATTTTTCTACGACAAACCGTTGAGAAGTTATGCTAATTTAAAGGTTTTGACTTTGACCCCCTCCCCCCCTTTTCCCTGGGGGTTAGGCAAAAAATATGACCAGTTTTGAGTGTCTGGGAAGACCCTCTATCATCCCTGAGAAAATCGTACGATTCCGTGTTTAGGCCGATTTGGCCGTTTTGTTGTAGGGTCCTTTGTTTGCATTATATTGTAGATTTGAGTTCCTTTTATTATTTAGTTAAAATACTTCTGCTGCTCAATTTTCAATTATTCATGTAAAATTTTCTTTTTGCGAAATACAATCCTGACTTTCGCGCCCTTAAAGTACAGCCTTAACGGTCGAAACTACAGTAGCGGCGCAAGAGAGCCGAAGAACCAAACCGGGACGCTGATTCAATATTAAACTTCCATCGCCATGCTAAGGCGCAGGGACACAACTACTTGAACTCCTCGGAACGCGTGAGGTATCACGCTTCAATTAAAGGCGTTTCCGAATCTAATAAATTTGCATGAAGAGATTTTCCAAATTGTTTTGCATTATATTGTAGTTTTGAGTTCATTTTATTATTTAGTTAAATTACTCATACCGCTTAATTTATAATTATACTCCATAACCTATCAATTCGTGAAATACAACCCTGGTTTTAGCGCCCTTCAACTACGGCATTAACGGTCGAAACTGCAGTAGCGGTACAGGAAAGCCAAAAAACCAAGCGGGGACGCTGCTTCAATATTAAACTTCCATCGCCTTGCTAAGGCGCAGGGACACAACTACTTGAACTCCTCGGAACGCGTGAGGTATCACGCTTCAATTGAAGGCGTTTTCGAATCTTCTGTATTTACATTACGAGACTTTCCAAATTTGTTTGCATTATATTGTAGATTTGAGTTTCTTTTATTATTTAGTAATATTAATCCTACTTCTTAATTTTTCATTATTCTGCAACAATTATCTTTTTGCGAAATACAATCATGGCTTTAGCGCCTTAAACTACGGCCTGAACGGTCGAAACAGCAGTAGCGGCACAGAAAAGCCAAAAGACCAAGCGGGGTCGCTCCTTCAATATGAATGATCCATCGCCTTGCCAAGGCGCAGGGATACAACTAATTGAACTCTCCGGAACGCGTCAGGTATCACGCTTCAATTGAAGGCGTTTTCGAATCTTCTGTATTTACATTACGAGACTTTCCAAATTTGTTTGCATTATATTGTAGATTTGAGTTTCTTTTATTATTTAGTAATATTATTCCTACTTCTTAATTTTTCATTATTCTGCAACAATTATCTTTTTGCGAAATACAATCCTGGCTTTAGCGCCTTAAACTACGGCCTGAACGGTCGAAACAGCAGTAGCGGCACAGAAAAGCCAAAAGACCAAGCGGGGTCGCTCCTTCAATATGAATGATCCATCGCCTTGCCAAGTCGCAGGAATACAACTAATTGAACTCTCCGGAACGCGTCAGGTATCACGCTTCAATTGAAGGCGTTTACGAATCTTGTGTATTTACATGACGAGATTTTCCAAATTTTTTGCATTATATTGTAGATATGAGTTCCTTTTATTATTTAGTTAAATTACTCCTACCGCTTAATTCATAATTATTCTGCATAACCTATCAATTCGTGAAATACAACCCTGGTTTTAGCGCCCTTAAACTACGGCATTAACGGTCGAAACTGCAGTAGCGGCACAGGAAAGCCGAAAAACCAAGCGGGGGTGCTACTTCAATATTAAACTTCCATCGCCTTGCTAAGGCGCAGGGACACAACTACTTGAACTCCTTGGAACGCGTGAGGTATCACGCTTCAATTGATGGCGTTTACGAATCTTATGTGTTTGCATGACGAGACTTTCCAAATTTGTTTGCATTATATTGTCAATTTGAGTTCCTTTTATTATTTAGTTAAATATTTCCTGCTTCTTAATTTTTAATCATCCTGCAAAAAATATCTGTTTGCGAAATACAATCCTGGCTTCAGCGCTCTTAAACTATGGCCTTATCAGTCAAAAGTGCAGTAGTGGCACACAGGGGCGGACTGGTAGTCTAAAAGTTAGGAGGAGACCTAAATGTAAGGGGGCTTGTCGTTCGGGGGCCCCTATAAGAAGGCCCGGGGGGCCCTCCCCCGGTAAATTTTGAAAATTTCACACTTTTTAAACATGTAGGCATTATTGGAGTTGGATTCTACAGTACTTGAACTTCAAAATAACCCATTCTCAGGATTCATCGGGGGTCTCTTCATCTCTGCTTTTTGCGACCTTCCATGTCTCTTAGAGATAAATTCTCAAGGAATTCGGGGCCTTTTAGTGATTGAAAAGGATAAGAAAATACAACATTACGGGAAAAAAACGATGACTCGAAAAAAATTCGCCGCGGGGGCCCCTTCGGGACCTCCGCGGCAAATTGATAGGGGGCGATCGTCTCCCCGCCCCCATGGCTGATAAATCCCACAAATTTGTTGGTGCTATTTTACGTTTTAATCATATCGATGGTTAAAGTGCGACACCATGTGTTTCCATTTTGGTGTTTCCTGGGTTAATCTTTCGTAGAGGAACAAGTCAACTTCATAGCTTGAAATTGTACAAAGTAATTTACTGGCAGAGAAGGAAAATCAAGGGAGTTTCCAGAAATTATGTTGTCTAATTTTTCAAGGAAACAATGCCTACAGTATGCAAAGGGTAAGGAGGGCCTTCAAAAAGGTCAGCTTAGGACCTACTTTGGGGCATACTTAAAATCTCAAGGCGGAGCTCCCTTGCCACTATTCGGACTTAAAATTAAAAATTAATAGTATCATCATAACTCATTTTAAGTCCGAATAGTGCCAAGGGAGCGCCGCCCTGAGATTTTAAGTATGCCAACCTGAGCTGAACTTTTTGAAGACCCTCTTTTAATTAACGATCAGCCTCCATTCCGTGTAGTGATTCATTTTTCTCTTTTTTTCTTTCGAAAATATTAGAAATTCTTTATTTTTACTTCTGAATCAAGTACGTGCATACTTTAAGCATTCACGATTAAATTAATTCTTACTCTCCATTTTCAATCAGTTGATCATTGTAACAGGAATATTTCATTCAACCAAGGTCTTAACTTTTACATACTGACATCATTCACGGCAAGGGTAGGTAGGTACTGTAATAAATCGTGAAAGAAGCGACCCTTCCACATTTTTTTGCACAAATGAGGTTCTCATGCAGTCTTGTGTGTATCATCACGAAGGAAAAAATAAATATACCTAATTTCGAAGTTTCTTCTCGAATCCTCATATAGTTTTTGCGGGTTGCATATGCGGCACTGAAAAATCGTTGACATTTAGTGGTAAATGAAATTACGTTTTGCATCCCTGCTCCGGCGTCACTCTCATTGCCATTGATAGAGGCATCTGCATTATCCCTTAAAATATTGTAAAAATAATGTTTGTTAATATTTTTAAAATCGTTTAAAACAACGTTGTAAAAATACTTTTAAAATATTTTCGAAATAATGTTTCTAAGTGTTTTCAAAATATTTTAGAATAAAAATTGAAAAATACTTTTAAAATATTTTCAAAATATGTCTTTAAAAATATTTCTAAAACTTTTCTACATATATTTTTACAATGTTTTGTTAACATTTTGAACATTTAAAATTTAATTTCTTAAATATTTTAAAAATATTGTAAATATTTAAAAAATATTGTAAATATTTTAAAAACATTTTTAAAATATTGTTGGCTATAACTAGGAAGGTCCTTAAGGTCTCAATATTATTAATAAAAATACACGAAAGATCCTTTCTTGCGCGTGAAGAATATGTGAATACCTTTTCAAAATAATTAATGCAAACAGAGTTCGCATTCTGCACGAATCTGGAAGAAATGATGGGAAAGTATGCATGTTGTTTTCAAGAAATGTGACAGAGAGCATCTATAAATAATTCAAATAGGCCTAGACCTTTGATTCATTGAGTCCCTCTTTTAAAAATCGGAATGTAATATCTCTTTTCATGGGCGAGCAGTGTGATTGTTGACATTTGTAGACAACGTGATAGACATAGGAGACATTAAAGGATATAGAGAGATCCTATTGGTGCAAGCGGGTGGTTGCAATGGACAAAGGAGGTAGGTAATAAACTAAGCAACGGCAACCCAGCACGAGAGGCCCTGTAGTTAGTCCATCATTCGCTTCCTTGGTCTACAAGAATCACTCATTTCAACTAAGAAGATCGCTCCATATTCCTGTCCATCGCTTTGTCTATCAATTTCAACAATCTGGAAAAAAAATAAAAAAAAATTTGCTGGTGTTAATAGGAAAAAATTGTGGCAATGACTAAACTTACTCTACTAAACACACTTTTCTAGAGTAAAACCGGCAAGGGGGCACAGGAGTCAGCGCGGCTGAGCGTCTAGGAAGGACTCGTGACGTCAGGCGGAGATCTAACCAATAGCGCGGCAGCTTTCACTGTCTTGCAAGACATGGAGTTGGAAGTGAAATTGCTTCCATCGACCATCAACTTCTTGCGCCCAACTTAAGCTTCTCAGTGGCGCTCTGAGCTTGCGTGTAGCCCCGCGTCGGTGACCCACGTCTTCCCGCTTGATGTGCTCAATTTTCTACGATTTCTCTAGCCCCTTTCCACCAATTTCCGCTTCTCCCCCTTCGAAATGCTCCCTAGTGTAAGTGCAGTGTTGTGGTGAGATTTGGGAATCAAATTACCTAAAATTAAAATCAGTTCAATATGGATGCACTTTCCTGACACCTTGGATTCATTGCACGAGAAAGTGAGGTAAGCTGCAAACATTACGATTATTTTTTACTTTCAGATTGATAAGGTGAACTGCACTTCGAGACTCTAAGGCTGTACCAACATAATGGAAAGACTGCATCTCTCCAACTGGCGATGGGTTGCAGATGCTAATATGATACGTATTTTGTTCCGTAAGCAAATACTCTGCTAACCTCTATCTAATTTGTGCATCTACCTAGGCTACTAGCTACTTCCCGTGATCTGAATATTAATCTTGAGACTTTTTACGTTGATATTAATTTCAATTTAAGTAAACTGTCCGAGGAAATTAATGCAAATTCAGGAGGTTATTTCACTATGTTTTCCAGCATTGTATATAAAAACAGGAATTGTTTAGGTATGTAGATTTTCAAACATCTTAAATGAGTTGATCAACGCCTATTGCATTAAATAGACCGTGCTCACTCTTTTTTTCAGGTCAGATTTAGTCTTAGCACGCTTGCTAATCGCACATTGACGCTTGCTTCCAAAATATCTCCAAAAACGATAAAATATTTTACCAAACGTACTTGCGTTTTCCCTAAAAACGTACAAAACGTAAATTATTTCATAAACGACTTCGAATCGTTTCAAGAAAATTTTGGTGACATATGTGCGTTTTGTTATATTCGAAATTCAGTTTTGGATAATTTAAGAGAAACTTTTTAGACTTTTCAAAGTAATTAAAATAAAGTGAACTTTTTGAACCAATTTTTTTTCGCAGCCTGCTATTAGGGCTTGGAAATTCATGAAGGAACTAAAATCTCTATTCTTTTTCACCGTACGATTTTAAACTGAGACACAGCCTCCAAACGCACGCATAGAATGTACTTTTGAATGTCGAAGTAGAAAATTACCTACCTAGTCACCGAGTCCTTTGGAGGCTAATTATTATGTTTCTCTCTTATTTCATACAGCACCCCTGGTGAAAATGGCAAGTGCTCGGATCAGTAGCACTTACCTTTGGAACAGATCTAAACACTGACATCAGTGCTCCTAGGCACGTATCTGCTAGCTCCTTAAAGTATGTAGTTGAAAGCAAGGTGTTCGAAATTCTAATTGCGTTTTCATCATAATGGGCACTTGCACTGGTCACAGAATCGTGTTTTAATGCGTTATTCTTATAGATCATCTAAAAACAATAAGATCTATTCAAACAGCAACTCTCTAGGCTTAATATTACCTAACCGAAATATCGCCCTTTAAAAAGTCGAGTTCTTGACGTCATCCACCAAGGTAGTGACACCTTTGGTTTCTTCCACCTTCCTTTGATCAATCATCAGTGAGACACTCATTTGCAACGTGAAACTCGGATGAAAGCAAGGTGGAAGAAACCAGGGGTGTCATTACCCCCAATCTGCCAATGACACCCCTGGTTTCTTTCACCTTGTTTTCATCCGAGTTTCACGTTGCAAATAAGTGTCTCACTGATTGATCAAAAGAAGGTGGAAGAAACCAAGGGTGTCACTACCGTGGTGGATGACGTCGAAAACCCGACTTTTCAAAGGGCGATATCTCGGTTAATATTGAATGTAGAAAGTTGCGGTTTGGACGGATCTCATTCTTTTTAGCTAACCTACAAGAATTAGGTATCATAACACGGTTTCGTATTAAAATTCAAGGACTTCGACTACTCGAACCAACATGCCTACGAACTGGGACGTTCTGACCACAAAAACCACAAAGAATCATAGGAGCAAAAAAAATAACAATTCTGAAGACGGTCTGAATTACCGCGCACTGTCGTTAATTATTTCTTTTAGTGATACGGTCATTTCAAATTGTATCAGTAGTAGTGTACATACATATTATACGGTTTATTAGGCTTCCAAAGCATCTAATTGGAATTTTTTTTTTTCTGCTGGTTTTATGGCTTTGTGTCTGGCACCTTCCTTCAGCCTACTTTAGACTATGATTATTGTCCGTAGACATCGAGGGATTTAGGTACATCCATGCTCCAGGCTTTTCAAATGTTCAGGAATTAGGGCCGAGTAAAATTTGTTTCAGCAGATCAACTCATCAATTCCGTGAAACTTAGACGCCACCACTGGGATTCGAACCCGGGACGTATTGACCTATATAGAGTCAGACGCGCTGACCACTAGGCCAACCTGGCCGGCTAAATGAATTTTTGAGGAGTCGAAAAATATGTGATACTTAGATGATCTTTCACTGCACTTTTAGCGAAATCTTGTTCTGAAGTACCTATATAAAATCATAAGAGTGATGCGTAACGCACGACGCCTTCAGGCGCAAACCACATAGAGAGTTGGGCTGCGCGGTGGTCGGAGGGCGTGCCCTTTCTTCTGATAAAATATCTTAATTCTGAGTTTTCCACCCTCTGGAATAGCCGACTTGCATCTGATTTTTGCGCGGTGAAACGTACCTCACCAGAGCACTGCTCATTCAAAAATGGTAGTTCATTTCATATGTATATGGGTCAGTTGCGCTGGTTACAGAATCGTGTTTTGATGCCTAATTATTGTAGGTTAGCTGAAAAGAATAAGAATCGTCCACACCGCAACTTTCTACATTCAATATTAACCGAGATATCGCCGTTGAAAAGTCGCGTTTTTGACGTTATCCACTGCGGTAGTGACACCCCTGGTTTCTTCCACCTTACTTTGATCAATCAGTGAGACACTTATTTGCATCGCGAAACTCGAATGAAATCAAGGTGAAAGAAAGCAGGGGTGTCATTGGCACATTGGGAGTTATGGATGTTATGGGTCCTCTAAAGAAATTTTACACCATATACACAATGCTCTTTTTTTTAATCTTGAAATTTGAGGTGGAATAATGGTGGCCACAGAATAAGCCCAACAATACGTCACCGTAGAAAGAAAAATTGAAAAGTCCCGTGACTGTTTCAAAAGTAGTTATGAGGAGAACGTTTGCGACATAAATATTTAAACATTACGAGGCTCAAAAATAATGTAACCGTCCGTGCACAAATTATTTATCAAAAGCTCAACATTTGAAACCAGTTTTTCCGATCACAAAAAGTGAAAAAGATTAAAATTTTAGCGCCTGTACCGAAATGGCGTCATTACCCACGATCCAACACGCTATGTAGCATGTACACATGTTACATCGGGGGTCCCAACGGCTGGAAAAGGCTCAAGACTCTGCTAGCATGGAAGCTTCACCTACCCAAGATTCACTGGTACCTAGGACTTAGCTGGAGGCCCTGAAACTATATCCCCAGCCTGACGCTGAAAGAAGTATAAAGATTGTCAAAATACTTAATCAATTGAAGGAATAATAGGCCAGAATAAAAAAAATCCGTGAAGAGATGGAGAGATGCCAGCTTTCGGAGGATCTCTACCATGACAGAATCCTGTGGCGGGTAAGCGTTGCAGAGCGCCCTAGCGCGCCGTAAAAGCGGCTTACACTTACATAAAAAAAGGAAGGATAGGTAGTGAACGGGTAAGAAAGAGAGCACGAGGTAAGACAAAAATTCGTAGAGGATCTTTACGTCGCAAAGTCGCAGAGAAAACTGCTCTGAAATGGTCGGAAAACTGTAAAAGATCGGAATAGAAAGTGGGGGTGCAGGAAGAGCTCTGCATGAGGAGTAAATGCGCAGGAAGAAGAATGGGACCCTGAAAGAGTGTCAGAGGGATGGAGAAAGGGGCGAGGGCCGTGGTTGCACTGATTGGTGGACGGAAACGACACATGAAACCAAGGGAGGAGAAACGAAGGTACGTACGACGACGTTGGATGACGTCATACACCGTGCTTTTCGATGAGCATATCTCCGCTAATATTGGGTGAAGAATCTTGGCGTTTGGACGCATCAATTAGTTTTATAAATTTTCGATGAATGATTGATGTCATTCTTTTCAGTATTAATGCTGTTACACGTTATGGGTCAATTCCTTGCATTAACTTGCACGTAACGATAATTGTTGCTTCTCAAAGACACGAACCGGGTTGTATCGCGATGTAGTGGCGAATCTCGTCCTTAGATCTCTTAAAAATACCTTAAGCCATCGTCCACTACCATCGCCTATTTTACAACCGGTTGCAAAAAGCACAATATTTTTACCATCAGTTCACTTTTAGGTGACTTTCTTACTTGAGAAAAAAAATCATCGTTTAATACAGAATACAGCCGTGCTGAGGAAGAGGGCCGTGTAAGAGCCTTTAGATTTTGCTTTAATTCCTCTGATAAAATTCGAATTTTTCAGGAAACCTGTCAGTACTTTTCTCTTGGTTTTTCAGAGGATTTCATTTGCAATTTAATCAACGAAATCAGAAAAGTAATCATAACTTTCCTCAAAAAGAAACAAATCATTGAAAGCAATTCGGTAACGCCTGAAGGCTCAAGCGGCGTTCCTCCTTACTATATGGCAGAATACCCCTCCCAAAAGCCTCACAGCCGATGATGTCGGCGAAATGTGGTAGATGTTTCAATGTTTCCTCTCAACTAGAGTACCTACATTGAGAGAATATGGCCACTGGGCCCCATGGAGAGGCTTATAGGACCCAAAAATGGCGGTGCTTTGTTTTGGTTTTTGTGGATGGGAGGGGGGTCATTGCCAACTTTTGACGGTTATCACCAACCGCACTTGCTGCCAACCTTACTACATCTAAGATAATTTTTCTCAAAAATTGCACACGATTAGCCTTAAAAATATGTAAAGAAGTCGCAATAGTGCATTTGAGTAAATTTCTCGTTACAATAAGCAAAGAAAACTACATTTTGAGTCATTTTGCATTACATTAATTTATGGCGTCCGCCATTTTTGAGTTCTAAGGGCTCCATTCAGCCTAAGATGGCTGAGCCAATCAGAGGTGGTAACACCAGTGGCCATACTCTCTCAATATAGGTACTCAACTCTCAACCGCTGCGCTAAAACCTGAGCGAGACGTGCGGATTTTCATCGGACACTTGTCAACCGTGCCTCAATAATTGATTCCGTGAGTGAGCAACGGGGCGCTCAGACGACTGGAGAGTGCGAGTGCCCAGCGTGAAGCGAGCCTGGGGTCCAAGGCCT